CGACACCTTGGGCAGGCGGGGAAGGCCGGCCAGCCCGGCTCCCGCCCCGGCACTCTCGGTTCCTAGTTCTGCACTGGCGGAGCTGGAAGGGGAAGCGCCGGCATGGGCCCTTGCAGCTGCCTCCCCCACCTGGGCAGCTGGGGCCGGTTGCTCAGTAGAGCTGGCCGCCGACGGCGGGGCTGCTGGCAGGGGCAGCTGGAAGGCAAACCAGGGGCCTGGGGGGGGCTGGGGGAGGCAGGAGATGCCTGGCAGCTGAGGCGCCCTTCCATCACCCCCATGCTGTCACGCTTCTCATGGCCCAACACCTGGGCAACCCCAAGCGGGTGCTGCACAGCACTGTGCCCTCCCCCCAGCACTGGCACGGGTCTGGGGAGCCCGCAGCAGAGCCCCCGCCTTCCTGCCGCCTGCATCAGAGCCCTGCCAAATTCCTCCAGTGACCCCGAGCCACCGGCCGGCACCACACTCGCCCAGCCCAGCCTGGGCTGTCCCGCGGCCTCCCGGAGAGCATCCGCCAGGCTGCGTCACGGCCCTCCCGCTTGCATCCACATGGTGCCCTGCTGCTGCCAGGTGTCTGCCTGGCAAAGTCAGGGCACTGTGCGGGGGAAGCTTGCAGCACCGCAGTCCTGACTGGCAGGGTCAGGGCATTGTGGGAGGGAAGCTGACGGCTGCGCACTGCCCCAGGGCTTCCTCCCCACCCTCCACCCACCATAGTGGGAAAGAGGTGCCAGCTCTGGCCAGCGTGGTGTGCCCGGACACCGGGGTTCCTCACTTCCCCTGCCCATGACGCCTGCCCTGGGCAGCCCCTCTTGGGCCAGATCCTGAGAGGGACCCCAGTGCTGGCTTTGCTGTGAGCTGCGTGGCTGGAGTAGAGACCTGCCACCAAACTGCCCCCCGCTGGGGCACTGCTGGGGGAAAGCTCACAGCACACATGGTCCACAGGGTGGGGGGGTGTTTTGGGAGAGCCGGAGCCAGGCTGGGACAGGCCCGGGGCAGGGGCTACCAGGCCAGTGAGAGCATCACGAGGGTTTTGGGGGGGTACCTGGATGGGGCAGGCAGCACGGTGGAGCCAGGCCAGGGTGGGCAGCACCCGGGTGCCAATGCCAGATCCCCCGCGCTGTCACTGAGGAGCGCGTGTAATGGTATCTGGGCTATTTTGGGCACTGCCAGGCTGAGCCTGCGCCTCCCCCGCGTGCACCAGCTGCTGCTATTTCGGAGCTGCTGGCACGGCCCCCTCCCGCGGCTGGGGGTGGCCTCACGTCATCCGAGAGCTTTAAGCCTGGCAGGGGGAGGGCGTGGGAGTCACCGCCTTAACCCAGCCAGCGCTGGTCCGGGCCTTGCTGACGTCCGGCCAGAGGGCTGCAAAGCCACTGCCCGGCTTCTCCGTACGGCCAGCCCCAACCTTGCTGCTGAGAGGAGAGCCCTGCCTGCAGGGCTGGGGCCAGGACTCCTGGGTTCCTGGAGGGAGTGGGGTAGGTAGCATGTGTCACGTGCAGCTCGGGGAACAGGACTCCTGAGTGCTCCTCTCTCCCCTGTCTTCTGTGTGGACAATGATCCTGAGGGGGACGGGCACTTGCTCCCTGCCCACCCCCACCCCCCCGGGCTCTGTGCTAACAGGCTCCATTACAGCTTGCCCAGCTGCTGGTATCCGTCACATGAGGCGCCTCGCTAAGCCTGCTCCGCTAGCAAGCCAGGGTGAGCTCACCCAAGGTCATGTGAAACCCTCTGAAGCCCCAGGCAGGACACTGCTGTGAGGAAGCTCACAGCACTACTCCTCTGCCTGGCAGAGTCAGGGCATTGCTGTGAGGAAGTCCACAGTGCTGTCAGTGCCCAGGAGATGAGTCAGGTGGGGGCCCTTACTCCAGCTGCCATGCGACGAGCGGACTTTATCCAGGCCGCAGGTTCCAAAGTCCTGCGCGCTCATATGCAAGCAACCACAGGCCCACATGCCAGGGGTTTGGGCACCGTCTCTGCACGAGACCTGCCCGGGGTCAGTGTCCCACATGGGACAGCATTGCAGCATATGGCAGTCCAGGCAAGTGCTCCTTATGGTCAGGACATTGCCCTGCAGCGGTCAGGGTCACCTGGAGCCTGCCATGCAGCACCCTGGAGCTTAGAAAAGGATGAATCCCCCTCCACTAGGAGAGGGGGAAACTGAGGCAGGATGCTGAGAAGCAGCCTGCCCAAGGTCAGACATGGCACCCAGGAGTCCTGCTGCCCCAGCCACCGCGGGGGGGCTATGCTCCAGGGGGCAGCAGGGCCCTGACCCCACCAGCAGAGTGATTCGCCAGTCTGGCTCTGATGTTGGCCACGGCTGCCTTACACCGGGCGTGAGCCACGCCAGCTCCCTCGGTAGCCTGCAATGGGGCCTTGCGGGGCTGCTGCGTCCCGCAGTGCCCCTGTCTGAGCACAGCCATGGGGGGCTGTGAAACCCTGGGGCTGCCACGAGGGAGTGGGTCCGGACTCCTGCCCTGCTGTCATCCGGGAGTAAATCCAGGCCCCTGGGCGGCCGGCATGGGAAGCCCTCCCCCTCACTCAGTCATTCCAGTGGGAGGTCTGCTCTGTGCAGATCCAGAGAAGCAGGACTCCTGGGTCCCTAGCCTGACCAGGTCACTGTGCCTCAGTTTCCCTGTGTGTGGGAGGGAGGTGGCGGCAGCAACCTGGCCCCCACAGGGCAGGGAGGATGAGTGTGGCTGCCAGGGGCAGCACATGTAAGACTGCTCCTCTCCTGCCTGCCAGGGGGCTGGGGTGGTGCTGGGGCCAGAGCCACATCCCCCCTGGCTCCCTAGTCTTGGCCCCTGGAGGGTAGGGTCCTGCTGACCGCCCCCACGCTCTCTCTGCAGAACTCCAAGACGGTGCAGGGTCTGACCGGCCTCCGCAACCTGGGCAACACGGTGAGTCCTCCCCACCCAGCCAGGGTCCCCCCGATGCCCCGACCTCTCTCCTTCCCTGCGCCACCCGCCAGCCATGCGCCCATGTCTCGCAACTGCTGCGGAAACCACAGCCCTCAGCAGGTGTCCCTCCTTCACGCCGCCTCCACACAGCGCCCACACAAAGAGGAACCCCTGCAACGGCAGGAAATCCCAGCCACGTGCCCCGGGGGTGCGCAGAGTCCCCTGGCACCGGCTCCACCCTCCTAGGGCATCCCTGGGGTGGAAGTCCCCTTTGCTTGTGGCTTTGAAGCCCCACTCTGGGCTTTGGCCCTTCCTCCCCTGCGTTCCCCCCCACCCGCCCTGGGGCAGCCTGCCGGAGATGTGCCAGGAGGTAGGTCCCGGGCCCCCTCCCACCCCAGCCGGGGGCTGTCATGCCTGCCGTTGCCATGATGTCTCTTCTGCCTCCCCCAGTGCTTCATGAACTCCATCCTGCAGTGCCTGAGCAACACGCGGGAGCTGCGGGACTACTGCCTGCAGAGCCAGTACCTGCGGGACCTCAACAACACCAGCCGCATGCACACGGCCCTCATGTCAGGTGAGAGGCTGCGCCAGCCTCGCTGGGCTCCACCTTGCCCCCGCAGCCTGTGCTCCACCCCACGGGCCGGGCCACGAAGCACAGGCGCGTTCCCTGGCAGCTCTGTCCTTCCTCCTCGCGGCCCTGCACTGCCTCAGTGCCCCCTCTGCAGCGCCGCAGCCCCCCTCTGCCCTCAGCCAGCCCACCCGGCAGCACCCGAGCCCACGGGGGTGGTGGAGAACGGCCTCCGCACCAGGCAGGGGTAAGCAGGGCTCTGGGTCTGCCACCCCCATCACCACCGTGCTCCACCCCACAGAGTTTGCAAAGCTGCTCCAGCTGCTCTGGACCTCGCCACCCAATGATGCCGTGAGCCCCTCGGAGTTCAAGACACAGATCCAGAGATACGCCCCCCGCTTCGTGGGCTACAAGTAAGGCCCTGCCCGGCTGGAGGGAGGAAGGGGTAGCAGGGCAGCCTGGGCAGGGAGCGGTGCCATCTCACCCGCCCCCGTGTCCCTTCCAGCCAGCAGGATGCCCAGGAGTTCCTGCGCTTCCTCCTCGACGGGCTGCACAGCGAGGTCAACCGGGTGCTGGTTCGGCCCCGCGCCAGTGCCGACAACCTGGATCACCTCCCGTGAGTGGGCATCACTCAGAGGGTGATATCAAGGTGCCCTCCCTGGGTTGAGGAAGCATCCCCAGGCAGAGGCACCCAGCCTCTCCAGCAGCTGCTTCTACTACCAGTGCCCCCTACCCCATGGCCCCTGCTCTCCCTGTGGGACCAGATTAGGGGTGGGCAGCAGCACAACTGCAGCCCGTCAGGGCTTGATCAGGGTAATGCTTGGGGTGGGGAATAGGACTCCAGAGCTGGCCTCAAAGCAACACAGTCCTTGGCCCCCAGGCACCTTCTCCCCTTGGCCCTTTCCCATGTGAGCATCTGGGATGTGTGTCCTGCAGAGCCGGGGGTGCAGGCAGGGGCCCAGAGGGCTGAAAGCTGCCCATGATGTCCCAGTTTCCTTGGTCTATGGGCCCTTTGGCACCTGGCACACAGCTGGGCCTGGACAGCGGCTGGCAGCCCAGCAGAGCTCGAGGCCGGGGGTGCCCATGCCAGGAGGAGAAAGGGAGGAGCCCGACCCTAGACCCTGGGGTTGGAGGGCTCAGGCTGGGGCACCTCTCACATGCTGCATGTCCCCGCAGGGATGAGGAGAAAGGGAGGCAGATGTGGAGGCGGTACCAAGAGCGGGAGGACAGCCGGATTGGGGGTGAGTGAAGCACAGGGGGCAGGGGGTGCTTTGCAGTTGGGCTCTGTAGCAGGGCCTGGGGGCGGCTGGGGAGGGCGCGGGCAGGGCCAGGGCTGTGGGTGCAGCTGGATGAGCAGGTTTAGCACTCCCAGACGCAGCCCCCGGCGTCTCACTGCTCCTACTCCTGCCCCCAGATCTTTTTGTGGGACAGCTGAAGAGCTCCCTGACCTGCAGCGAGTGCGGCTACTGCTCCACGGCCTTTGACCCCTTCTGGGACCTGTCCCTGCCCATCCCCAAGGTAATGCCCGCGGCCTCGTGCCCCCGATCTGCTCCTGTCCTGCCCGCCCCGGGCACGTTCTCACCCTGCCTCCTCTCCCCGCAGAAGGGCTACGGGGAAGTGACCCTCATGGATTGCCTGCGCCTCTTCACCAAGGAGGACGTGCTGGACGGGGACGAGAAACCGGTATGGGGCACCAGGGCTGGGGGCAGATACATGGGCAGGGCAGGACGGACGGATGGGACCCATTAGTCCTCAGGGCTCTGCTGCAGCAACTGTGCAGGCCCAGGGTGCGAGGCTGCTTGCCTTGGGGAGGCACCTCGAGGTGGGCATCGCAGGCTGGCCCTGGGCCTGTTTATTCTCATCCCCCACCCGGGGAGCGCCGCGTGCCCCTCGGCCTCGTCCCTCACTGGCCCTGTCTCCCCAGACATGCTGTCGCTGCAAGGCCCGGACGAGGTGCACCAAGAAGTTCAGCATCCAGAAGTTCCCCAAGATCCTGGTGCTCCGTATCCTTTAGTGCACCCAAGTGCCCCACAGCTGCCATCCCAGCACTGGGCAGCCTGTGGGGATGCGGGGGGCATGGGTGGGGACACCTCCGGATCCAGCAGGACATGGCAGAGGCAGCTGTGGCCTCCTACTCTTCCCCCATGCACCTATCTCCATGCTGCCCTGGCCCTTTCCTTGACACCGTCCCCAGACCTGAAGCGCTTCTCGGAGGCCAGGATACGCACCAGCAAGCTCACCACCTTCGTCAACTTCCCGCTTAGGGACCTGGACCTGCGGGAGTTCGCGGCACAGAGCTGCAGTGAGTGCCCGAACAGCGGGCAGGGGCCAGGAACTCACACTTGCCCATCACAGGGGCTCCAGTGCCATGCACCCCTCCACAGCCCTGCCACCAAGGGAAAGCCTGTGGGGAGCTGTGGACTCCCCCTACCCCAGACTTGTCTTGCCTCGCCGGGCAGGGCCCTGTCCCAGGAGCCCTGCCTCTCTGTACCCTGCGCCATCCTCCCCACCACCCTCCGTCACAGAGCTGTGAATGGGACCCAGGCGTCCTCGTGCCTCCAGCTGCCCCCTCAGTCCCCAAGGTCATGCTGCTTCTGCCTGGCGAGTAGGACCCCGGGGTCCCCCACGGGTGCTCTCTGGGGCACCGGCATGGCCCCAGTGGTGCAGAGCAGAGGGGGGGACTCTGTCCCCTGCCATGGCTAATGGCTATGTCTGTCCCCGCTTCCCCAGACCATGCTGTTTACAACCTGTATGCCGTGTCGAACCACTCCGGGACCACCATGGGGGGACACTACACAGCCTACTGCAGGAGCCCCGTGTCCGGCGAGTGGCACACCTTCAACGACTCCCGGTAAGGCCGGCACCAGGCAGCCCCACCCTGGGGTGCATGCTGTGGGTGTTGGGCAGCTGTAGGGCATGCTCTGACTGCAGAGGATGAAGGGGCTGTGCGGGTTCCTTGCTCTGCCCCCCTCGCCCTGATGGCCCCCTCTGCCCACAGCGTCACCCCGATGTCCTCCAGCCACGTGCGAGGCAGCGATGCCTACCTGCTCTTCTACGAGCTGGCCAGCCCGTCTTCCCGTATGTAGCTCCTGCCGCCCAGCCCCGGAGCCTGGTGCCCGCGGGGCAGAGAGGACAGGACCACGCCTCGGGGGGCAGGTGCACAGGGCCCTGCCCCAGGCCAGAAGAGATGGCAAGGCTGCCCCTGGCATGACATCCAGGGGGGTTCCCAGCATTGGCTGAGCGAGGAGGAGAAGAGCTGGCACTGAGGAGCTGGAGTCGCGGCCTCACCGTCGGCAGGGGCTGGCGTTTAGCTTCGTTTGTTCCCTTTGGTGTGTAATAAAATGCTGAGCAGCAACAGAGGGCACGGGAGCCTGGCTGCGCCCTGTGCCCCACAGCACGCCGCCCAGGCAGCTTGGGATCGTGCCTCCTTCACCCAGTGTGGCGGCGTCCCCGGAGCCCAGCACTGGGCATTGCTGCCTGCACCCAGGACACCACGGCACTGCAGGAAGGGAAGGACACTGCGCTGCCCCTACCCTGCCCCTTCCTGGGCCAGGACTCGGAGCCCCAGCAGGCCCGTGCCCATCTCAGCTGGCCAGGGGGAGCCTTGTCGAGCTCCTTTGCATCCGTAAGGGACCTTTCTCGGCCCGCAGCCGCTGCCCAGCTCCGCGGGTCCCCGCTTTGGGCGGGTTCTACCTGCCTCCTATACAACGGTGCCTTAAAACATTGGGGAGCGGCTGGGGGGCCCCATCCCCCCAGGCTGGGCTGTGCCCTGCCCCTACCCCGCTGCTCTGGGGCAGGCTGGGGTGCTCGGCCCTGCCCACAGTGCCCAGGGGAGCCAGCAGCTTTCCAGGGACCGGCTGCGTCTGCCCCATGAGATCTGCAGCACCTGGCGGGGGCAAGCCCCTGTTCCAAGTGGGAGCATGCAGGGTGGTCATCCCACTGCCCCTGGCCCTGAGAGCCTTTTTTAGCTTTTTCTGTAATTTATTCTCTCAGCCCCTTTCCTCCCACTCGTGTCCAGGGTGGGGGCACATCCAGTGTGCCCAGCGGTTGGCCTGCCCCCTGCACAGCCCTCACTCCCGCAGGGCGGGTCGGAGAGGACCGTGCACGGCTCACGGAGGGGCTGGCGAGGGCATCGTGGAGGGGAAGGGGCACCATGGGGGGCTGTGGGTGCATTGCTTGTTTACTGTGTAAGCAAGGCGAGTGGGAGAGCGTGTTGTACAGGAATAAACTGGAGCTCAAACACCCCCGGCTGCCGTCCTTGTGCTTCTTGGGTCTCCTCGGGGTGGGGACAGCCCTGCACGCAGCTCCAAGCAGTGCAGAGAGCCAGGCCTGGGGGGTCTGGTGCACAACGAGCCCGCAGTGGTGCTTCTCCCATGGCCACCTCCCTGCTTCAGGGCTGGAGCTGCCCCCCATGTGGGGGTCAGGAGGGACCATGCTCAGGATCCTGGTGGTGCTGTCTGTGCGGGAAGCAGCTGGTTGCTGTTGGCCTGAGGTTACCAGCTCCCACCGCCCATGAGGGCAGGAGCAGCAGAGCATCAGCCCCACCGGGCAGCTGTCTTCAGCTCCACAACCGGGCTGGGCAGAGAGGCGCCCTGAGCAGGGGCACCCTGGGCCCTGGCTGGGGTGCCAAAGCCATCCTCTACAATCTCCCCCACCCCACAAATACCCGGCACGCCCAGAGCACTAAGCCCCTCTCCCCCACAGGCCCCTGCAGCTCCACGCTCACCCCAAAGCTCCCAACAAAAGGCTTTTCTCCCCTGCTTAGTAACGGAGAAGGGAGCCGGGTGCTCGGGGATGAGGAATGCGGCTGCCTGGCTGGGCTCTGGCTCCTAGCACTGCGGGAACAGGATGGGGGGAGGGAGGGAGGGGCATTGTGACCCCCACACATGGGCACACACTGCCCAGGGCCTGCCAAGGGGCAGCATCGGGCCAGGGGCATGCACTAAATAAGCACTGGTGCAAGCCTGGGGCAGGCTGAGACTGGAAGGGGCCTGGAAAGAGGCAGGGAAAGGGGGAGCTGGGACTCTCCCCCAGAACAGGCAGCCACAGCACCCAGAGCTGCCCCATCCAGCCCGCACTTGTCTTGGGGCCTCTCAGCAGCCAGGTGGGAACAGGACCCAAAAGCTACACAGGGCACAGCCACGGTCACCAGAGTCCCCCGCCCCAGCTTCACCGTGAGCACGGCAGGGAGAGCAGCCCCGAGCCACAGCGGGGTCGAGACCTGCTGGGGAAGGCACCGCACACTGGGCAGCTGTCCCCGAGCCCCACGATGCAGCCACCTCTGGAGAGGAGCCGCTCGCCAGCCTGCAGCCTCCCCAGGCAGCCCCCTCTGCACCCCAGCTGCCGGGGCCAGCAGCACGGAGCTGTGCCTTTAAGCCTCCAGTTTGCAGCGCCAGGGCACCTGACCTCAGCATCCTCAGCTGAGTTGGATTAAGGACTGGGGGTGGGTGCTTGGAGAGTCTCACTCCCCTCATCCCCCCAGAGCCCAGCACAGCCCTGCTTTGGCTCCTGTGCCTTGCCACCCGCCAAACCGTGCCCGTTTATATCCCGGTGGAAGTGGACGTCTCGGGGATCCTGTGCAGCTGTGCTGATGGCAAAGGGGTTGTGGGAAGGCGCCTGGGGCTGGCAGGGGCAGGCAGTGGTGCCAGGAGGAAAAGCCCCCAGGGTGGGATTCTAGCCGGACCTGCCAGAGTTGCCCGCCCGCTGCCATGAAGGATTTCACGGAGATCACGCTGTGTGCCGACGCGCTGGACCAGAGCAAGGTACGAGCACCCCCTGCCTCCGCCTGCCCCACGGCCATTCCCTTCAGTGCTGACCCCTGCCCTCCGGTGCCCCCCAGCACGGTGCCACTGGCAGGGGTTGATGCCCCAGAAAGCCCCCGCTGCTTGCAGCTCAGTTGCCACCAACCGCCCCGGGCATAGTGGTGCCCCCGACCGCAGCCCCCACTCTTTGCCTTGCAGACAGAGTTTTGCAATCCTGCCTTTGAACCTGAGAGCGAGGGGGCCGGGGCCATGCCCCCCGCCCGGCACCGGACAGAGGCCAAGAACGGGAGCATCACGGGAGCCACCTGGAACGGCCTCGGTACCGTCTGCTGGGGGCTGCGGCACCCCGGGGTGCCCT